CATAAGGGCCCTGTATAGGGTTTCCAAGGAGCAGTTGGTAGATTTGAACTGCCGACCTTGCAGTTTGACATTGCAATTGAGTACTTATGCTACAGCACCACACGAGAACTCCTTGTAGGTCTTGCTTGTAGGTGTATCAATATAATCTAATCACAGACTACGTTGTACTTCAAGAAAGATTTCGAAATGTTTTGATGAATGCAACACCATGCCATTCCTCAATTTGTCATTTCCAGCATAGTAAACCATGTGAATGTCAAATTCAAAATGGCCAATAGTTCTTTTCAGCTAAATCTTAGGATATAGATATTTGTGTTCCATCTAACTTTTGACTTCTAATTTTCCTAGATTAATACATTCTATGTTCTGATTTTTAATGGATGCGTAGAGCTGTTTGTCCTTATTCTGTGTGTGCCCCATTAGCAAATGAAGATTCTGGTTTTACTCCATTTGTGTCATCTTGGTCAAATCTAAGGAGGCAGCTCTTCCCCAGTTGTATTTGGAGTGCCTTCCAGTGATTACCTATTTTGAAGCAGTCAGCCTCTCCTTCCCAGTCTGTCTTAGTCTGGAAGCTCAGCTGAATCCTGTCCACCATGAGTGACCCTGCTGGTATTTAATATATTGGTGATGTAACTCCAGAATCACAGCCACATTGAAGCCACCACAGTACGACAAACTGACAAGTGGTGGGGAGGGAATTCTTCATGGGCTAGAGGGTTGTTGTCGTTAAGTGCCATCAAGTCGTTTCCAACCCATAGCGACCCTGCACAGGGTTTCCGAGGCTGTAAATCTTTACGGGAGCAGAAAGCCTCATCTTTCTCCCATGGAGCAGCTAGAGGGTTGTTGTTGTTGTTAAGTGCCGTCGAGTCGGTTCCGACCCATAGCGACCCTGTACAGGGTTTCCGAGGGTGTAAATCTTTACTGGAGTAGAAAGCCTCATCTTTCTCCCGCGGAGCGGCTGGTAGACACCTGTTAATATAGGTGTCAGGGTAGGCAACATACAACAAAAGGGAGGTTTACAGAGGCAGGTAGGTAACATTAGATATAGGGAGGAATCTCAGAGTTAAAGGAAACAGAGATAAATACTGTTAACTAATGGGACACTAAATGGTTTAAAATTAAGAAAGGCGTGCGACAAGGTTGTATTCTTTCACCGTACTTATTCAACCTGTATGCCGAGCAAAGAATCTGAGAAGCTGGGTTATATGAAGAAAAACGTGGCATCAGGGTTGGAGGAAGACTCATTAACAACATGCTGAAAGTGAAGAGGACTTGAAACATTTACTTATGAAGATTAAAGAGCAGAGCCTTCGATATGGATTGCATCTCAATGTAAAGAAAACAAAAATCCTCACCACTGGACCAATAAACAACATTCTTATCAATGGAGAAAAGATTGAAGTTGTCACAGACTTCATTCTTCTTGGATCAACTATCAACACTCACGGAAGCAGCAGTCAAGAAATCAAACGATGTATTACCTTAGGCAAATCTGCTGCACAAAACCTTTTTAAAATGTTGAAGAACAAAGATGTCAGCTTGAGGACTAAGGTGCGCCTGACCCAAGCCATGGTATTTTCAATACCTTCATATGCATGCAAAAGCTGGACAATGAATAAAGAAAACCGTAGAAGAACTGATGCTTTAAATTATGGTGTTAGAGGAGAATATTGAAAGTATCATGGACTGCCAAAAGAACCAATAGATCCGTTTTGGAAGAAGAGCGCCAGAGTGCTCCTTGGAGGTCAGGATGGCCAAACTTCGTCTCTTATACTTTGGACTTATTGTCAGGAGGGACCAGTCGCTGGAGAAGGATATCGTGTTTGGTAAGGTGGAGGGTCAGAGAAAAAGAGGAAGACCCCTAATGAGATTGACTGGCCACGTGGCAGCATCGATAAGACTCAAGCATGGCAACAGCAGTGACGTTGGCCCAGGATCAGGCAGTGTTTTGTTCTGTGTATAAGGTTGCTGTGAGTCGGTACCAACTGGATGGCACCTAACAACTACAACAACAATGGGACATGGAAGGGATTGCAATCATTTTATTGGCCAAGATTTTGCCAAAATCCACCTTTAGTTAAGCAGGGTTTATATTTAAGTTTCCCATTTGTCTTCTCTATAGAAAAAACAAAGTTTGAGATGGAAAAAATAGCAAATGAAATTGGGGTCTTATATCTAAAAAATTATCATACAAAGAGTGATAAACAAAAGCGTAGACAAGTCATCTCATGTCCCAAGTTGGGGCTGGAGGTGGGCACTGTTTATTCTTTCACTCATGCAAGGTTTAAAAGGATCCTATGTAGCAAGCATATAAGAGTAAAGATGAAATCTTCCAGTTATACATTACATTTCTATGGGAGAAAAGAAACAAAGTGAAGTTAAAAACACAGGAACCAGTGTGAGTTAACTGTATATAAATATCTTTATTTAGTGTTTTGAAAATAAAAAGACAACAGAAATGGTATAAAATAACTTTTATTTACATAATTTATATCTATAGAACATTACTGCTTTCTTTGGAACAAGAAAATTTACAAATGACAGATATTGCTTTGTTGTCAAATACTTCTTCAAGCAAGATACTGTATGTGATCACTTCTATTTGAAATTACATTTGAATGGTGATCTACAGTGGGTATTAATATTCTTATCTGTGCTGCGATCATTTGCCAATAATTAGGCTTTAAACCACCATGGTGATCACTTTGTAAGACACTAAATATTCCAGATGAAAAGTCAAGAAAACATAAAGACTTTTAATCATATCTCCATTAAGATTTATAAAATACAAATTCTCTGCAATATCTTCTTAATATATGTGTAACAGTCTTTCTACCTTCTAAGGTAAATACACTGATTTTCTCTTTTGCAAGATTAGTTTTAAGGATATAACAGGATAATTTAGCTGGGTGACCTGATTCTCTAACACATGTCCAAAGATAAAATCATTCTTTATACAGTAAGAAATTACATTTTCCACAAAATCTATTATAGATGAACAAGTGACAGATATTCACAAAGTTAAAAAAATAAATATTATACAGTGGATAAAATAACAGTTTGTGGCAATCTAATATTCAAACTAACACTAATTAAGAGAAACAAATTTTTCAAAATGAAATTCTTATTTATAATTACAAAAAAACCCAAGAGTATTAAAATAGCAATGTGACTTACTACACATCATGATTTGGGGGAACATATTTATCACATGAAAGAAATTGATGAATACCTATAGAGAATTTCCACTCAGATTTATAGACTCTTTTGTGACCAAAAAGTTTAACTACAAATTTCACTGTAAGACAATGACAAAGAAATGCTCTAATAGAAATAAGTTCAATAAATTAGCATTACTGTTACAACTTCCTGGTCATTTCCTATTTTCCTAATGAACGTGAACACTTTCCACCTTTAAAAATATACAAGCACAATCATTTAGACTTTAAAGTATATTCCCAAACCAAATACTAATCATTTCATAATTCAACCAACACAATTTTAGGCACAACTCATAACTTCAATGACAAATATCTCATAGACTTCAGCACCATAAAAAAAATTACTATCAAATATAATTATCGGCAAAGTCAGTATGGAATCCAAGATGGCCATTTGCTGGAGTGCTGTCTATTGTTGCTCTCACACTAGAGTGGCAGGTTTGAGTTGCTGTCACAGATACCATATGGCCCAGAAGCCAAATATATTTTGCAGAAAAAGCATCCAAGTCTTGACATAATGGTTTATGAACCCAAGAAGTATTTCAAATAAGGTAAGAAGAATGCTATTTTAGAACTTTACTTTCAACCATTAAAGATTTGCTTGGACACATACCAGAGTTACATATGTAAATCACCAGATCTTTCAAAATTACTCTTAAATTCATATTGATAATAATTGACAATTTTATCAAGCCTTATTATTATTTTATTCTATGTTTTTTATCATCAAAATTAAGTTCTTTACTTAGAGGTCTAAGAGTTCTTTGTGTAGAATTTTAAGGGAAAAAATTGTCAAGAACTTAGTTTTTTGTTTTTTTTTTTACTATTTTTTAAAGTAATATATGTGTAATAAGAGAGACTGAATTTTGTACAGAATTTTGCCTCCTACAGGAAGTTACGATTTTTTTTTTCTCCCTTATAAATCCTGAGATTATCCACAAAATAAGTAAAACAAAAAATTCACAGTACAAAGTCTATATTCTAAACTATGAGAAAAATGTACTCAAAACATATACATTATACACACTTTTAGTTATATGACTTAAAATATCTTTAAAATTAAAGAGGGAAAGGAGACAAACATAAATTTGTTAATGCCTTCTTTATCCACAATCTGAGAGATGAAAATAATTAAAATGGGATATCCATTTAAATAAAAAATTTAAAAATAAATAAGCTCTTTGATGTTTCATCTTTATAAATAATAAGTTTAAATACTAGTTTTTCCATTAGGACAAATGTTACAGCAACGTGAATTATAAAAATACATATTTTTCAGTCATTCAAACAGTTGATAGAAAAATTTTGTAGCATTTACCATACTAAAGTGGAATTTCAGAATTTACTTTCATATACTTTAGAGGCAACAGAAAAGGCCTTCCTCATCATTTAAAAAAAAAAAAAAATCAAACAACTTTACAAAAGGAAGCTCAATAAACATTAAATACAATCAGCCTCCAATAAGTCGGAACTGTGATTTATACAAAGAGACATTTATCGATGACATTCATAAATGTCCATATGTTCTTTGTACAGGAAAGTCAAAATGTAAACAAGAGGGGTAATTTCTGTCTCAGAAAGCAGTCTTAATTGCTTGGCATTTCCAAAATGGTGAATTAATAAGAATGAAAGAAATTAATCAGTACTGCTTCCTGTTGATTATAAAAGTTTCAAAACCAAGCTTATTAAGTAAAAATAGTGATGTTTCTTTCTAAATACTGCTTTGTTGATGTAATAGACTCTGGAAACCCCAATCTCAAAACAAAACAAACACTTGTTTTATACTGCTTCATTCACTTCAATAAAGATATCATTAAAGAAATATTCAGAGACATTGGGTAGCTCCTCCTCAGATGTCTGGTTTTGGCTACTTTCATTTTCTTCTTTTGGTAAGGGTTGAACACAAGGAACCTAAAAAGGAAATAAAAGTAAGTCTGACATATAACATTTGTACACTGCTTTTGTTGTTGTTAAGTGCGGTCGAGTCGATTCCGATCCATCGTGACCCTGTTTAGGGTTTCCGAGGAGCAGGGTGAGCCTGAACCATTCACCTTGCGTTTCAAACCCAGTTTGCATTTCAGCGCATTAACCCACAGCACCACATACCAGGATTCCCCATACACTGCTAGTAATAATCTAAATTGGTATAAATTGCTTGAAAAATAACTTAGCAATAAATAATGAGAGTTTAAAAAATGTTCATAATCCAATAAATGCCTTCAAGGGTATGGAAAGACCAGACCCCATCTACATTGCTGGTGGGACCGGAAAATGGTGTAACCACTGTGGAAAGCATCCTGGTTCATCCACAACAAATGAAATCAGAAATACCAATTCCTTGTTTGGTATATATCCTAGAGAAATAAGAGTCACAACAACACTAGGTATATGAACACTCATGTTCATTGCAGCACTATTCACAACAGCAAAAAGATGGAAATCAACCTAAAATTGCCCATCAACAGAAATGGACTACTACACACTATGGAAGAATAACAATGAATCCGTGAAATACCTCATAACATAAATAAACCTGGAGGACATTAGGCTGAGAGAAGTAACTCAGTTTACTGTACAAGACCAGTATTATAAAAAGTCAAGAAAAGGTATTCACACACAAAAAACAAAAATCATTCTATGATGTTTACCAGGAATGGGAGAGAAGGGGAAATAATGCACTGGCTAGAGGACGATGTTATTGTGCAATCCTGCAATAACAGTGATTTGTTTGTAGATATCTGGATAGATACACAGGCTGAAGAGATGTGGGAGGGAGAGTGTGAGTATACCCACAAATATACAAAGGTTATTGCTGTTAAGTGTCTTTGAGACAGTTCTGACTCATAGTGACCCTGTTGAGGGTTTCTGAGGCTTTTTAATTCTTTGCAGGAGCAGAAAGCCTCATCTTTCTCCCATGGAGCAGCTGGCAGGCTCAAACTGTGGATCCTGTGATTCGCAGTCCAGTGCTTATTGTATGGAGCCACCTCTCTCTTCCACATAAAGGTTAAAGGATGAGTTGTACATGGGTATTACTTTTGCTGGAGTCTTGATGTGGTGCTGTGGGTTAACGCGTCAGACTGCAAAGCCATTTGAACTGCAAGGTCAGCAGTTCAAGCTCACTAGGTACTCCTCGGAAATCATATACAGGGTCGCTATGGGTCGGAATCATATTGACAGCACATAATGACAACAACATCAACTTTACTGCAAACACACCTGTGAATTTGGTGGAACATGTTGTAGAGTGCCATCCAGCTGGTTCCGACTCTTAGTAACCACATATAGGGTTTCTGAAGAGCAGCTGGTGAGTTTGAACTACCAACCTCATGGTTAGCAGACACGTGCTTATCCTATATCGCCACACCAGGACTTGGTGTGCAAAATGTTGAAAACTTCATAAATATTACCAAACACTTTGAGGAAATGAGTTGCCGGGTCTGGGAGCTCAGGACCATAGTCTCGGGGACACCATGGTCAATGTCTCCATAGAAAGTGTTCTATATCCGACTTTGGTGAGTAGCAACTCAGACCTTAAAGGTTCATGAATGGCTTTAAGGTGCAACTATTGGTTTCTCTCAATCCTGAAGAAAATAGTGATGAAAATGGAAAGGACCACGTGAACATCAGTCCCCACGACACTGAGACTAGAAGAACAAGATGGTGTTTGGCTACCATAAAAGGGATCACATTAGGAGGTTCTAAAAGGGATCACATTAGGAGGTTCTAAAAGGGATCACATTAGGAGGTCTGGACACTGTGGGAGAAAATGTGGAAAACTCAAAATCATAAAAAAGACCAGGCTTCCTGTTCAGATGGAGTCCATGTGTGGTGCAAGGTCAGCAGTTCAAACTTAGCAGCCTTGGAAACCCTATATGGGTTCACCATGAGTCAGAACCAACTCAACAGTACTTAACAACAACCATTGGTCAGACAGAGACTTGTGAAACCCAAGTCTATGGCCCTTAGTCACCCTTCAAGTCTGGAACTAAACTCTCCCCCATGGCTCAATTTTCAATAAAGGCAAGAGGTAGGTATATAGGGGGACAATAATATTAGTGAGGTATGCACATCACAGAATGGCCAACCATTTGAAATCAAAATGGCAGGATTTACCCAAGGACAGAAGTCAGAAAGGTTGGGAGAGGAGGAGAAATGTAAACAAGAAACACAAGGAAGCAGTGGGATAAGTGACGCTACACTGAGGCGATTACAATCATTGAGATGACACAAAATGCAGAATTTGTTGACTGCAAAACTAACAATCTGCTCTATAAACCTTCATTCACAGCACAACACTAAAAAAAAAAAAAAAAAAAGTAGAAATACCTTTCCTAAGGGTATATATTACTGTAATAGATGGTGATTTCTCTGATGGATCTAGGCAAAGCAAAAGGAAGACCTTCTGTAAAGGATTCATCCTTCTTGGTGCCATTAAGATTTATGGGAGGATATAAAATATCAACATTAACAGGAGTTTGGAAGAAGTTGATTTCAACTTTCATGGATGACTGAGTGATTCAAGAGTTCAGCAAAGGAAGTAACTTCAGATGTGGTGGAAACAGCACAAGAATTAGAATTAGAAGTGGGGCCTGAAGATGTGCTGAATGGCTGTAATCTCATGATAAAACTTGAAGAGATGAAGAATTACTTCGTATGGATGATTTGTGGTTTCTTGAGATGAAACCTACTCCTCATGAAGTGAACACTGATGAAACATTAAAGGTTTTAGAATCTTAACTAAACTTAGCTGATACCGCAGGGTTTAAGAGGATTGACTCTAATTCTGTGGGTAAAGTGTTACAAACAGGATCACATGATACAGAGAAATATTTTGTGAAAGAACAGTCAATCCATTTGATAAATTTAATTTTCTGTTTTTAAGAAATTGTTACAATCACTGCAATCTTCAGCAACCACCAACCTGAATCAGTCAGCAGCCACAAACGTCAAAGTAAGACTCTATGATTTTCTGAATGTTCAGATGAAAGTTAGCATATTTTAGTGATATTCTTAAAAATTATAGTATTATCAAACACATATACAGAATATTGTTATTACTGGCATACAAATAAAGAGACATAAAACAGAGCAGCTCTCAAAGGGAATTATCACAAATCAAAGATACCATATAAAAACCAATGTAAAATCCATAAGAAATTAAGACGGCATGGTACTGGCACAAGAATAGAAAGACCATAATTCAAATCTCATGGAAATAAAGTATGCGATAAGAGACATTAAAAAAAAAAAATCGATTTACAGCCTTGGAAACCCTGTACAGGGTCGTTATGAGTCGGAACCAACTCCATGGTACATAACCACCACCACTACCACAGTAGATCCAAACAATGAAATACAGAATCATTTAAAAAACGAAGACATTCTCAGGTACTTAGCAATGAAAAATAGAAACTTATGTTCATACAAAAACCTGTACATGAATGCAATAGCCAAAAATGTTAAACGACTCAGATGTCTCTCCACAGGTGAGTGTATAAACAAAACGGTAAAATAATCCACTATGGAACACCTCTTGTTGTTGCTGTTAAGTGCCAACAAGTCAGTTACGCTCATAGCCACCCTGCATAAGGTTTCTAGTGGGTTTGAACCACTGACCTTTACTTAGCAGTCCAGTGGAAAAGCTCAATGTCATTAGCCAAAACAAGGCCAGGGCAGACTGTGGAACAGACCATCAATTGCTCATGTGCAAATTCTGACTGAAGCGAAAGAAAATTAAAACAAAGTATGACCTTGAACACATTCCACCTGAATTTACAGAAAAAAAATGACCCTATGACCATCAAGGGAGAAGAGCATGAGCGGAATGTGGGACACTATCCAGAAAAGCAGTGACACCAGAGATGAAGACAGAGATGATGACATGGTGAGCTAGAGCAGCGGAGGACCCTAGACTCATGATAAGAAAAAGGCTGTGTGTGCTGGCACCCAGGAGGCAGGTTTGCAGAATGTGCCCTTTGGTTGTTTAAATGATTATATATTCCTGAGTGGTTTTGTGTACAGCCAAAAAAACAGATTCACATACTGTTGAATGATGACACACAGAGATGATTGCAATCAAACGAAATACGATAGGATGACTATAAAACTGATGCTCTCCCATGTAAACTGTTCCTCAATTCACAATAAAAACTTAACACTCCCCCTATACACACACACACACACACACACAAAAAAAAGAATCAATGGTACTGAAGGAAGAAGTCCAAGCTGCACTGAAGGCACTGGCAAAAAAGAAGGTTCCAGGAATTGAAGGAATACAAATTGAAATCTTTCAACAAACTTACAAAGCTCTGGAGGGAGGCACTCACTCATATATGTCAAGAAATTTGGAAGATAGTTACCTGGCCAACCAATTGGAAGAGATCCATATTTGTGCCAACTCCAAAGAGAGGTGATCTAACAGAACGTGGAACTCAGAGAACAATGTCATTAACTTCTCATACAAGTAAAATTTTGTTGAAGATAATTTAAAATGGCTGCAGCAGTACATTAACAGGGAACTGCCAGAAATTCAAGCTGGATTCAGAAGAAGGCTAAGGATATATCTGCTGACATCAGACAGATCTTGGCTGAAAGCAGAGAATACCAGAAAGAGCTCTACTAGTGTTTTTTTGACTATGCACAGGCTTCCCACTGTGTGGATCACAACAAGCTATGGATAACATTAAGAAGAATATGTATTTAGGAACACTTGATTGTACTCATGAACAACATGTACACAGACCAAAAGGCAGTCATTCGAACAGAACAAGGGGATACTGAATGGTTTATAATCAGAAAAGGTGTGTTCCAGGGTTATATTCCTCACCAACCCAAGAAGCTGGGTTATATGAAGAAGAACGTGGCATGAGGATTGGAGGGAGAACCAGATAATACAACCATGCTTGCTGAATGCGATGAGAACTTAAAAAATTTACTGATAAAGATCAAATACACACACACAAATATCAAATACAACAGCCTTCAGTGTATACTGCACCTCAATGTAAATAAATATTCACAACTGAATAATAAATAACATCATGATAAATGGAGAAATGATTGAATACTACATTTTGCTTGTATCCATAATCAACACTCACGGAAGGAGAAGTCAAGATATCAAATGACATACTGCATTAGGCAAATCTGCTGCACAAGACTTAAAGTGTTCAAGGGCAACCAATTCAACAATATCTAATGACAATAATCACCATTATACTAAATAAATGTTTTTGAAGTGTCAATAATGTTGGCAAGGATGTGATGATACTGGCACTGCTAAGCTAATGGTAATTTATCTACTCTCTTACGAAGTAATTTGGCAATAGTAATCAAGACTCATGAAATCTGGGTCTAAGAAAATAATTCTAGGAAATATTCCAAAATAGGTTTTAAAATACATTTAAAAGATGGTCTTTACATAAAAATGTCCCTTTTGTTGTGCCTCATTTTAGGCACTAGATGATAGAGTACTGTTTGTAGGATCTTCACTGCTCCCTGGCACTGAGGTGGCCTCCAACTCATGGTGACTCCATGATGGAATGAAATGCTGCCCAGTCCTGCACCATCTCCACTGGGCTAAGTTGGGAATCAGATTCTTGTGAACCACAAGGTTTTTCCATTGGTTGATTTTCAGAAGTAGCTAGCCAAGTCTATTTTCCCTAGACCTAGTAATACTGTAGGGAAAGCAATGGATTGCTAATTGCAAGGATAGCAATTTAAACCCATCAGTCACTCGCATTAGGAGCTCTGGTAGCATACTGGTTACGAATCGGGCTGCAAACCTTAAGGTCAGCAGTTCAAAACTACTAGCTGTTCCGCGGGAGAAAGATGAGGCTTTCTGCTCCCATAAAGATTTACAGCCTCGGAAACCCTGTACAGGGTCGCTATGAGTCGGAAACAACTCCACAGCACATAACCACCAGTCAGTCCATTAGAGAAAGATGAGACCTTCTGCTCCTATAAAGATTTATAGCCTCAGAAATGCTATACAGGGTTGCTATAACTTCTTAATTCAACACTTAGTCTTTTTCCACTAAGGGGAGCAGGGAGTTTGAAAAGGCCATGCTGTATAAAAATTTCTGACACTCAAATGAAAATTGCAATTACCATGCTTTTCCTAGATGTTACCACATACCTGAGCTGCTAAACTGTCAATATTCTCAGATTGCGTATTAACAACACTGGAAGATGGGAGAAGATCACAGGACTCTTGTGTTTTTTCCTGGCTTTCACTGGGTGGATTAGATCTTTTAATATTTTTCCTTGCTGTAGGTATACATGGTTTTAGGCGCTTCTTCCTATGGACTTGAGTAGGTTCATCAGATTCTGTATTATTCTTTGAACAAATTAAAGACAAAAATCCCAGAGGTCTTCGGCCAGGTCTAGAAACACAGATAGAAAGACATTCAAGAATATCCAGGAAATTATATTCTTAACACTAACCTCTTTTCATTAATATCAAAATGACACACCATTATGCTGTGACACATATTTGTGGCAAGATCTAATCTTACTCTAGAGCAGTGATTCTCAAATTTTAATTGTGCATACAAATCACCTTGGGATTTTGTAAAAATGAAGATTTTGATTGAGTTGATGAGGGATGGGGCCTGAATTCTGAATTTCTAAGTTCCCAACAGTCCTACAGCAAGTTCTGAGAGCAAACTTGAATAGCTCAGCTCCAGAGCAGGAGTCAGAAAACTATGGTCCCAAGCCAAGTACAGCCTACCACCTGATTCTGTAAAACAGTTTTACTGGAACACAGCTATGCTTACCAGTGCACATTCTGTGCTACAGCAGCAGAGTTAATAGTAGCAATAGAGTCAATAGGGTCCACATCAAAAATATCTAAAAGTTCCTTCACAAAAATGTTTGCTGCCTCTTGTTCCAGAGCACCATTTCTTAATCTATTTTAACCCAGACCTCCTATGATGTTCCTTCATTGTGTTCTCAGTACATCTTCTATTAAGACCTGAAGTAATGTTGTGAGCTTTATTCTCTCTGTAGTTTAAATTACAAAAACAATAGGTGTTCAAGCTATAAAAGGCCCATTTATGTTCTTGCCCTCTGAGGACACCATGCAAATTCTTCCCTCTCCAACACCACCATATTAAGGAGCACTGTTTTGATTTATTGATGACAATACCAAGCAAACAAAACAAAAAACAAAAAAACAGCAACTTCCATAGTTACCTCTGGTGTCAGCCTTATGTGGTAGCCACTGTATGGTAGAAAAACTAATGACCAAATAAATAATAACCATGGACAATCCAGAAGACAGAATGTGTAAAGTTTTGACATTTAAATTGTCAAAGTTTCAGCATTTTCACAAGTTGATTTCTTGTTATATGGAATATATACTTAACAATCTTCCCAAAGTATGTGACATTACTGTATTACCTTTGCTGAAATTTTACATTCCTTTTACATTATTAGCAGAGGAATACATCTCTAGAACACCATTCTTAGTACAGGACTTAATAAATATGTTACATATGTTCTGTATAACTTTTTTCCAATGGCAGAGGGAAGTGAGAAATACTTATTAAATACTTTCTTATGCTACCTGGTTAGGGGGGGTTTTGAAGATGATGCTCTGCTATCCATTTGCTCAGATTTAGAAACAGCAGCAGTTCTTTCTTCCTTATCAGATATAATCATCCCATCTTGAGGTAACTGTGGTGCATTCCTTTCTGTCACTATATTCTGCAGAGTGGGTTCAAGTTGCTCTTTCTGAGGTTCTGGAGTTACATATGTGCTTCCTGAGGTAGGGAAAATATTTTGTCCCATGTAAGACTCCCCTTCAAAAAAAAATACCACAAATGTTAAGTACACATTGAAATTTTGAAATTAATTCAATTTGTTTATAGTATTTGAAGGAGAACAATCATCACGATATTCAATTATAAATTTACCCTATTTAAAGCAAGATAAATTTATGAGTCAGTTACTTGGACCATTACTAATACCAAAACTGAATAAAGGTATGGCAACAACTTCTGCATTCACATACCAAATTGTCATATATTTTTTGAACCAGAAAAAATTTCTCCATTTTTTAAAAACTAATAAAATGAAAGGGTGATCGTCTTCTAATAATTTATGGTCATAGAGACCTTACACAGGGTCTCTATGAGTAGGAATCAACTTAGAAATGAGGAAGACTATATAAAAAATATGAAAACAAAGAGATGGATAAGCACTGGACTGTTAACCAAAAAGATGGTTCAAACCCATTAGCCGCTTCTTGGAAACCCTATATAGGGTCACAATGAGTTGGAATCAACTCGATGGCATTGAATAACAAGCTCCAAAAGTGGCTTAAGTCTAGTAAAACGCTTTTCAGCTTCGCTAGTATAGGAGTCTTTGAATGGTGTAAACAGTTACCAAGATAGGGTGCTAACTGAAGGGTTGGAGGTTCGTCCCAACCAGAGGTGTTTTCAAAGAAAGGCCTGGTGATCTACTTCTTGGGGGGGGGCCGCAAACCAATCCCGGTGCTATTCAGTTGATTCCAACTCATAATGATCCCAAGTGCTATACAGCAGAAGTGCTACATTGGATATTCTTGGGTGTAAATCTTTCATGGAAACTGATCACCAAGCCTTTCTTCTATGGTGCTGCTGAATGAGTTCGAACCACCAACCTTTAGCTTTGAAGACAAGCACAAACCATTTGCGCCACCCAGGAGCATCTGTGCAAAACTAAGCCTTCTAATTGCTAAAACGTAGCTGGCTGCACGTTTAAAGAAAATTCCTATAGCCCTATGATTTTCTATTAATTACAGGATGAAAGGAGCTTCTTTTGGTCAAATGTCACTCTCCTCCCGCAAAAAAACAAAAAAATAGTTGCCATCAAGTCAACTTAAACTCATAGTGACATCATGTGTGTCTCAGAAGAATGTGCTCCATAGATTTCAGCAGCTGGTTTTCAGTAGATTGCCAAGTCTTTCTTATAAGGTACCTCTGGGTAGGCATGACTGAGCTTAAACCTTTCACAGTTCACAGCTTAGGGTGCCAAGGGTTTGTATCACCCAGAGATTCCTTGGCAACCAAAGGCAGCCAAAATCCAAGATCTCAGCAGGGAAAAGAAACTGATGATAAGGATAATACGACTCCAAAAGAAAAGTGAGCAAGACTGCTTCAGTATTAAATCTGAACAAAGTGCAACGAAAATCACGAATATTTAGCAAAACGTAATCAAGTTAAATTTTATTTCACTCACCTGTTTCCTCAAAAACATTTATTAATTCCTTTGAACATACCTGTTTTAAGAAAATTTATAAAAATATTAAGAATCCAATTATCAAGTAAAATGAAAATTAATCTTCTTCCTTTCTTTCATAAAGAAAGCATATATCTACCAGAAAATCTCTAGGGTCACACAATGTCTTATGGGAATTTTACCAACATTTATGAAACTGACATTGCCACTGTTATTTAAACTATCTACGAAACGGTAAAACAGGAGCTTTCTTTCAGATGCCTTTTATACATCCACCATAACACTGATACCAACTACATACAAGTCTCACTTAAACCCATGTGCAGATACCAAAGTAAATATAAACACAATTCAGCAGCACACCAAAAAACTATGGTTTACTGGTGCTTTATTGATTATGCAAAGGCTTTCCACTGTGTGGATCATCACAAGCTATGGCTAGCCCTCAAAGAATGGGTAATCCAGTATACTTGATTGTGGCTATCAGGAACCTGCAAAGAACAAGGGGATACTGAAATGGTATGAAGTCCTTTTACTGTACTTATTTATCAGAACGCTGAGTAAATAATCCACGAAACTGGATTATATGAAGAAGAACATGGCATCAGGATTGGAGGAAGACTCATTAGTAACCTTGAGATATGTAGATGCTATAACCTTGCTTGCTGAAAGCAAAGAGGACTTAAAATACTGATAAAGATCGAAGACCACAGCCTTCAGTATGGGTTGCATGTCAAAGTAAAGAAAACAAATATCCTTAATTAAACCAATAAATAACATGATAAATGGAGAAAAGATTGAAGCTCTCAAAGACTTCATTTTGCTTGGATCCACAATCTACACTAATGAAAGCAGCAGTGAAGAAATCAAATGACATATTCAATTAGCCAAATCAACTGCACAAGATCTTTTCAAGTGTTCAAGAGTGAAAGTATCAGTTTGAGGACTAAGGTGTGCCTGACCTAAGCCATGGTGTTTTCAACAGCCTCGTATGTATGTGAAAGTTAGACATGAATAAGGAAGACTGTAGAAGAATTGATGTGTTTGAATTATGGTGTTGGAGAAAAATACTGTTTTTCTGGCAGAACAAACAAATCTATGTTGACAGAAGTACAATTCCTTAGAAGCCAGAATGGTGTTATCTCTCACACTTCAGATACAGTATCAGGAGGGACCAGTCCCTGGAGAAGGACATCATGCTTTGTAATGTGGCGGGTCAGTAGAAGAGAGGAAGACGTCCAACAAGATGGACTGACATAGCGGCAGCAGGAATGTACTCAAACATAACAATTATGAAGATGGTGCAGAACCAGTGATTCTTTTTTGTTGTGCACAGGGTTGCTATGAGTCAGAACTGACTCGATGGCATCTAATAACAAGAAGAAACCAAAACAAGTATTTCAGATGAAACTAGTTCATATAATAATATCATTAGGGTGGACCCTAATCCAATCTGACTAGTATCATTATAAAAAGAGAGGTGACATAAAAACCCAAAGGAAATATGGTTGTGGGAAGACAGAGACAGAGATTAAAGTTATACTACCATACTCAAAGAATACCTGGGACCATCAGAAGCCAGAAAAAGCAAGGAAGTATTCTTTCCTTAGAGCCTTCAGGGAGAACATGGCCAACACCATGATTTCAAACATATCCTCCAGAACTATGAGAGAATACATTTCTATTGTTTAAAGTCACTGACCTTGCTACAGCAACTGTAGGAAAAAAATACATCACCCAAACATATATGTAAAATTAATTGATAAAAATGGAATTTCAAATCAGGGGAGAAAGGCTAACTGTTCAATAATTGGTTCTGGATGCCAAGGGAAGGAGGCTTCTTGCGGAGCTTCTGCATTACATAAGGCTATAGGTGGAATCCGGATCCCCATCCAGAATTTTCTGAGGTGGGAAATTTCCACTTGAAAGAAAAAGCAGACCAGCCTGGAGTGGCTAGAAGAACAGAAGATACTTCTTGAAAGAAAGACCATCAGGAAAAATAAACAACTAATAATGGCAGCCCGATTGACTACTATTAAGAACAAGCCAATTGTTCACCAGGGAGCCATCAGGGCAAGTGGTCGGGTTCCATCAGGGCAAACCCCCTTCCAAGACTGAGATTCAAAGGGAATACACGAGCAGGCATATGGTCTTACTGGTGACCATGTAGGTCTACCGATAAGGGGGGAGTGGGGGAACTACAGCAATGAAGTTGTGAGCTAAGTCTGACCACGTTCAACAGACTCCTGTCAACCTGGATTGAGACCTTGTTAGCCCGCAGTATGGTGAGATCTGGGAACTCCTGGACCCAGGGACATGGCCACAGAGGACTAGAGTGGAGAGTGAAGTATCCAGGTGATATGAAGTGAGGCGAGATGCACAAGAACAACTATACTTGCAGATAACACCCATTTGACCTGGCTTCAATGGCTGGATAATAGAACTCAACTAGAGGAAGAAAGAAGAGGAAAAAAAGAATAATCCGCTACAATTTGATGAATTTGACCTATACTTATGGATGTAGTAGCTCAAAAGAGGACCGAATCTTTACAGCGAGGATCAGTCCCACCTCCCCAGTACACAGGTTGACAGGGATGGGCAATTTAGGCACTGGCTACCCAAAATGAGGGGATTACAAAGGCACTAAGTGACTGGCTTACAAGCTTTCAAGAGGGAGCCTAGTTTCAGAGGGTATGGGGGAAGGCAGAATCTGCACTGAGTGGTTTCCAACCTGTCTGGACGGGGCTGGTGAAAGGAGATGGGGATTAGACTCTTGTGGTTCAATAGTGAATAATTGCTATCAGGACTGATTATGAATGATGCAAATGTAAAGGCAAACATTTTGTTAAAAGGAGGGGATTGGTTGATCTTGCAGTCCAGGAGCAGAGGACCCTGGGACCATCAAGGGAGAAGAGCAGAGTGTGGGACCCAATCCAGAGAAGCAGTGACACCAGAGAGGGAGGCAGAGATGATGACATGGAGAGATGGAGCAGCTTGGAACCCTGAACTCAAGGAGGGAGAGGGATTATGTGCTGACGGCCGGGAGGCAGGCTTGTAGGGTGTGCTTTTTGGTTGTTTAAATGGTTGTATATTCCCGAGTGCTTCAGTGTACATCCAAAAACGAGAGGGAATGGAAGCAAATGCTATTGAATGATGATGCATGGAGGGGATTGTAATCACTGCAATGAAACTATATACAATACGATGAATGTAAAGCTGATGTTCCCCTACGTAGACTATCACCCAAATCACAATAAAAACTTAAATAATAATAATAATAAAAAACTTAAAATAATAACTGGTAGATTATCATCTGAAAAATTAAGTTGACTTCAGTCAATCAACATGAATCAGAAGAATACTTTTTAGTCTGCAAGAATTCTTTCAATGCATAAAGCAATCCCCAGAAGCCACAAAAAGACTGATAAATATGATTACAAAAAAGGAAAATGCTTGTATGTCTACCTGAATGCAGTGTGTATGCATTCTACAACTAACAATTATAACAACAATTTTTCAAGCAATTAATTTTTATTGCTTACATGCTAAAATAAGGTTTAGAAAACAAAGAATACAAATGAGTCCAATGAACAAATAGCACACAAACATTAGTATATATACTACCTGTTCTTTTCTTATATATTCATACTAATGTATATAGATGATTTTGAATGGCATGTAGTTTTATACTTAGTAACATAATATGAACTTTCCCCCCTGATATTAGATATGCTTTAAAATAAAACTTCGGTTGCATTGTCATAGAGTCAGGAGTGAGTTCTTGATTAACCTCCATCAGTTTTCAACTAGAACTGGTTGAATGATAATCCAAAACTGATTCTACTTGATTTATGCTGAAAATCACTAAATATATAAATTTAATGAGTCTAAAAGAGAAAACAGAAGAAAATCTGTCAGAAGACGGCCATCTTACTTAATATCTTACTTACCTCAGAAGTATGTTCTTGACGATCAACTACTGAAGTGAGTGAACTTTTTTTGGCAGAAGGAACACAGTCATTTTCTTCAAGCCTGCAATGAACTCTCTTCCTAGATAAAAGATCCAAATTAGCAGGAGAATTTTCATAACCATCTCTTCCAGAATTAGATACATACATTGCATCTGGACCAACTGAAGTTACAGGAAAGCTAATACTGCAAAGAAAATAAACACATGTTAGTTTCTAGCTCTGTTTATATTTAAAGGCTTGCAATTTAAGATCCATACTATTGAATTAATCTGAGGTATACAAGCTGTGCTTTCCTCATCTTTTTTGTTAATCCAAAATGTTTCTTCTTAATATAAAAGACTTTGATTTCTATATATTACTTGATGATACTCAGGCATCTTAACCAGTGATTGTTAAAATGTTAACTTAATACAATAAAGAATATATAATTTAAAATACATATAAAATATTACCTCTATATTATTTTGTAGAGTGTGGTTACGCTGTAGGATAAGCACTGGACTGTGAACCACAGGTTCAGCAGTTCAAGTCCACCACATACTGTGTAGGAGAAAGATGAGGCTTTCTGCTCCTACAAAGATTTAAATCCTTAGAAACCCTATAAAGGGGCCTAAGAGTCAGAATCACTCTACGGCATTTAACGACAACATACCATTTTTTAAACTTCTTGTGAATGTATATTTAATTCAAATATTTTAAAGCACTTAAAATAAATATAGAAATGTTTTTTACGAAGCTAACCACATTAATAATGCCATTTTATGATTTGGACTGTTAAATTAAAAAAAAAAACTTTCAAAATATTTAAAATACTAAAAAGTATTATATATAAACATTATTAAAATTGTTAAGTATCGTCAAGTTGATTCTGACTCAGTAACTCTTATGGGATTTCTGAGGACCAGCTGGTGGGTTTGAACCACTGACCATGAGGTTAGCAGTCAAGTGCTATTTTATTTATATTTAAATAGCATCCTTCTCTTACATACACTCAACCACCTCATATTTGTTCTTCTCTAAGTTATCACAAAATTACTAAAGACCTCCGATTCAATTAGGTCAAACACTGGTGAATGGCTTATTTAATTAATACATAACACCTATCTCTGGGCGAAAAGAGTTTAGCTCATTAATTACCTCAGGTCACCCCTCTCTTCTTTATTCACTGATCTAATCAATATGGGTGCTGGCAATAAATGGTTTGGCATTAAGTGTGCGGTGTTATTAGTAAACTCTTCTGCAGCATTGGTTGGGATTTCCACCAGAGTTAAGATGAATGCTTGCTCCTCCTCTTCTCCATCCTGATTAGCAACTAAATGAACTATCAAAGTTTAAAAGTCAGTAATAAAACACTGAGCTGTGACAAAACAGAAAATTGTTTGATTTATTTCATTTCTAAAAGACAGTCTCATGATTTATTATCAAGAATAAAAAAGAAACACCCTCCCTTAAAAAGCTATTTCATAAAGGATGATAATACATAATGGAGATAACTTACAATGCTCAATAACAAAACTGATACACAAAATACTTCATATTTTTGTTTTTTAAAAGGCCACCATAAATATATAAATATAGATATAAACAAATAATGTACTTAGTGTTTATATTTATATAGAGGTTAAAATCATACTATTAGGATCTATGACACTGTACATAAGCAGATTATCATACCTGCTAGGTCTTGAGAATTGACTACATTCTCTTGTTGGACTTCTGGAATACTTGCTGGTGTACACTGTCGTGAAAAATTTAAATGAAAAAGAGATTGAACAAATCTTACTTTTAAACAAGATTTCCTGACAATTGTGAACAGATATTAATTCACAACTTTAATACTTACTTAATCATATGTAGTCTTTAGATCCTCTAACTTTCCAAATACATTGTTTTTCATTTAAACACACATGTGCACACACATAGGACATAGGAATCTGACTAAATTGTTAAGTGTGTATTCAATGAAATGGTTTTTGAAGTGCAAATACTGGCAGATCCAAACCCCTGAATGTTCTCTTTAACTCCATCACAACAGTCACTGTGTTATTAGTTGGTGACACCTGGAAGCAAGGCAAATTGCTCTCCTTGTTTTCAGTAAGGTTTCCTCCAATAGGATTTCCAAAAGACTGCATATAGCATCTTTCTAAAATGTGATTCTGATTGTCATTATCTATTGTTAAAATCTGAAAACTTTCATTTTGCAACCACCAATGTGACAAATGATTCAGGGACATAACATTAACAGACATTAAAACTACTGCATGACTCTAAATACCAACAGAGAGCATGTATCAATGCTATTCCCTCTGTACACAGGGTAGATAGGGACAGGCAACTTAGACAGCGGCTACCTCTAATGAGGGAGCAATAAAGGCACGAAGTAACTGGCTTACAAGGTTTCATGAGGGAGTTTAGTTTCAGAGTGTGTGGGGGAAGAAAGAGTCTCCACTTAACAATTATGTCCAGATGGGTCTGGTTAAAAGACATGGGGATAAGAGTCTTATGATTCAATAGTAATTGTTATCATGACTAGTTGCGACTGTCACAATTATAAAGGTAGAAATTTTCTAACAAAAATGGGGGCATGGTTATTCTTACAGTCCAGAAACAAAGGAACCTAGGACCATCAAGGGAGAAGAGCACAAGCGGTACACGAGATCTTATCCAGAGAAGCAGTGACACCAGAGATGGAGGCAGAGATGGGAACATGGAGAAAGGAAGCAACTGAAGACTCTAGATTCATGGGAAGTGAGAGACTAAGAGTTGGCGGCCAGGAGGCCCTTTGGTGGTGTAAAGTATTATAAATGCCTGAGTGTTTAAAAAAAAGAGCGAAAGTGAATAGAGAGAAATACTGTTAACTGATGGTAAACAGAGGGGATTATAATCATTGTAATGAAACAGGGTGTATGATTTGTTGAACGTAAAATTGATGATCTGCCCTGTAAACGTTCATTCAATCCACAATAAAAACCTTAAAAAAAAACCAACTACTGCATGAAAGTTTGCTGAGGATCACGTAACAGATTACTTATTATACAAAGTGAAAGAGATGTCTTCACAACACGGAAATCTGGGAGGTACTTCCCCACCCCAAAGATCGATCAGCTTCACCAATAATGGGACAAACTGAAGTTATCTACTTCCTGATGTGATGTTAAGGGACAGACACACATCATCACGTATGTAGTTCTCTTGTCAAAAACATTTAATCTGAACCTAATAATGAAGAACTAATTTAAAAAATTAAATTATGGACTAGCCCGGACTCTTCTAAAACTTACGAGTTCACAAAAGAGGACAACAGGCAAGAGAACAGATTTTTCAAAAAGCTTTAATGCCTGGTTTTAATGGTTGGATGATCAGAGCTCAACTAGATGAAGAAAGAAGAGGATAAAAAAGAGTAATCTGATACAATTTGATGAACTTGACCTACACCCTATGGATGCAATAGCTCAAAAGAGGGAACAAATCTTTACAGCGAGGATCATTCCCACCCCCTCAATACACAGGGTAGACAGGGATGGGCAACTTGGACATTGGCTACCCAAAATGGGGAGGCTACTAAGGCAAGAAGTGAGTGGATTACAAGCTTTCAATAGGGAGCCTAGATCCAGAGGGCACAGAGGAAGGTAGAATCTCCACTAAGTAGTATCCAATCTGTCTGGGCGGGGCTGATGAAAGGAGCTTGTGGTACAATAGTGAATAAGTGTTATCAGAACTGACTGTGAGGGTTGGAAATGTAAAGGTAGATGTTTTGTAGCAAAAGGAGCGGGGTGGTTGACTTTGCAGTCCAGGAGCAGAGGGCCCTGGGACCATCAAGGGAGAAGCGTGGAGTGCGGGACCCTACCCAAAGAAACAGTGACGTCAGACCTGGAGGCAGAGACAATGACGTGGAGAGATGGAGTGGCTGGGAACTCTAGACCTAGAGAGGGAGAGAGGCTGTGTGCTGACGACCAGGGGGCAGGCTTGCAGGGTATACCCTTTGGCTGGTTGATGATGCATGGAGGGGACTGTAACCATGGCAATGAAACGATACACGACAGGATGAATGTAAAGCTAATGTTCTCCCATGTAAACTATCATATAATTGACAATAAAACATTTAAAAAAAAATAAAGATTTAATGGACACGATTTGGAAAACTAGATAAATCTGAACAGGAACTATGTATTACCTATTATTGAATTAATGTTAAAATTCATAAGTGTGATAATAGTATTGTCACTTCACTGCAAAATGTACTTGTTCTTATGAGAAAAAACTGGAGTATAGGAGGTGAAAGTTCCTATCTGCCACTTACTTTCAAAAGGTTGTTTTTAAAAAAAGTATCTATTGAAGACTTTTAAAAAAGCCAAAAAGATCTGGTGAAAGGAGATGGGGACAAGACTTTTATGAATCAATAATGAGTAACTGTTATCATGATTAACTGCAATTGTCACAACTGTAAAGGTACAAGTTTTATAATATAAAGGGGTGAGTGGTTGATCTTACAGTCCCGGAGTGGAGGAACCTAGGACCATCAAGGGAGAAGAGTGGGAGCAGGGTGTGGGACCCTACCCAGAGAAACAGCAACTCCAGAGATGGAGGCAGAGATGACAACATGGAGAGATGGAGCAGCTGAAGACTCTAGACTCATGGAAGGAGAGGGGCTGTGTGCTGGCGGCTGTGGGTCAGCAGGGTTTGCACTTTGTTTGAATGAGTGTATATTCCTCAGTGTTTTGGTGCACATCCAAAAAAACTCAGAGGGAATAGAAGCAAATACTGTTGAATGATGAAGCATGCAGGGGATTGTAATAATCATTGCAAAAAAACGAATGCGATAGGATGAGTGTGAAACTGATGTTCCCCGTGTGAGCTATCATTCAATTCACAATAAAAACTAAAAAAAAAAAAAAAAAAAAAAAGCCACATTAAATGAAATAAACAGCAGATATAGGCATTCATCCTTAAGTATTTCAGTTTTTTCTCATAAAAACAAGAACATTCTACAGAGAAGTGACAATATTATTACCCTTATTAACTTTAATGTTGATTCAATATTATTATTTAATAAGTCCCAGTGGGACAGTGGTTAAAGCACTTGGCTGTTAAACAAAAATTCAGTACTTCAAATCCACTATCCATTTCATAAAAATTTACAGTTTTGGAAACCCAATGGGGCAGTTCTATTCTGTCTTTTCAGAGTTGCTATGAATTAAAATCAACTTGATGGCAATGGTCTTGGCTTTTATTGATCCACTAGCTTGGAAAACCAGAGAGAGAAAAGTAATGTGACAATGAATGAATCTAGTGAGGACATAGGAGAGTTCTTTGCACCATTGTTGCAGCTCTTCTTTGAGTATGAGATTATAAAGAAAAAAAACCGTGAGAGGGAACGCTTGTAACTTTGGATGCAGTCCAAACTCTACAGTAAGTAATAATCATTTTATTATCTATCCCTAGACCACCTTTCTAAATTCATCTCCAACCATTCTTCATTTATAATTCACTCATGATAACGTACAGTTCCCTGAACATGTTAATGCTGTCTCACACCTGGTTTTCACACACGTTCATCTCAGTTCAACTGGCTAACACATGCTTGCTCTTCAGGATCAATTCTGACTGCACACTCAAAACTCTGGGAGAGCTTTAAAAAGCGTTTCTCAGCATAGGACCTATTCTCAGAAACTGATTTAATGGGAAGGGGCTGAGGACCACTCCGATCGAATCTGATGGAAACCTCTCACAGCACCTATCATACCGAATTTACCATTCACATACTCATTGGTCTCCTACTGCTCTACACTCCCAGTCCTCCCCTCACAGAGTCAGACATGGAGAAGTAACATCTCAATAATGGTTTGCTCTGTGGACAAACTCCTCAAATCCAAGACATAAGAAGGAAGAGGTGAACTCTCTGTGTGATAAAATAACTCTTTTGTCAAACTCTTCACAACAAAGCTGGGTATTTGTTATTTTATCTCTGTTCTTCAGAGACTGAAAACACACCAAAATTCTCTAACAACGCATTCTTGCAAAGGCGAAGTTATAGGGATAGAAAGCAGATCAGGGGTTAGGGTTACCAAGACTGGGGTTGAGGAGAGGGATTATAGGCACTGGGGAATATGCTGAAATTATGGAACTGTTCATATATTGATTGTGGTGGTGGTGGTGATTACACAGTTATCTATCAAAACTTACAGAACTGTACACTAAAAAGGGCAAATGTAAATTACACCTTATTTTTGTTTGTTTTATTGGACATCCTTTTACCTGTGGTCCATGGAGTGTAAGCAGACTGTCTCCACTGGGCTGCTTGATCAGGGTCTCTGTAACAGGACTCTCACCAAGACCCCGATCCAAATCAAGTATGCAGGCTCCTGTCTCTGAAGGAACAACTGAGGCAACCAATAAGTCTGGGACCTCTTGAGATCTCTCTTCTTGACCATCATTTCTAAAAAAGTTTTAGTATGTATTTTCAATCAGGCATAGAACCATAGAATAAATGATTTTTTAAAGCTAGTATTTCAGAGATCATTTAATTCAATGGTTTTCAAACTTTAAATATATAGTGAATGCGCATTAGACCCTTTTCAATTAAGTTCTTATAATTAAAGCTATGACTATAATTCAAACAAAACACAAACAGAATCCCTCTCTTACATTTTAGTGAGGTTGACTTCTTGTGAAATACTGGTTTCTTCTGTACCACGGGCATATGCCAGTTTGTTTGGCTCCTTATTATCGATTACAATTGATCCAAGATTTTTATCTTCTAAGTCTGCCCCTTTAACAGCACTTTCCTCAGTTTCTTAAATAAACAACAGATTTATACATTTACTAAGTGAAGTCAGTCAGTCACAAAGAAACAAGCAGTCCACTTGTACAAAATATCAAGGATAAGCAGATATATAGAGATCAAAATGTGTTAGTGGTTACCAGTAGTTAAAGGGAAGGACATGGGGAGAGGATTCACTGTTCAGGTTACACTAACCCTCTGTTAAGGGAGATGGGAAGGCACTAAATGGATTATTTTTATCAGTAAATAACATGGCAAATGTAATTAATGTTACTGGTTTATTCATGTGATAAATATTGAAAAATTTGTTACATGTATATTTACCACACCAAAAAAAAAACCAAAACCACAAAAAACAAAATCAAAAATAAGGAAAAAAAAACAACAAAAAAAACAGTAAACAAAAATCCCCATATAAGTAACATTGTGTTGTTGTTAAGTGCTGTCAAGTCAGTTCCGACCCAGAGCAACCTTGTGTAAGGTTTCTGAGGAACAGTTGGTGAGCTTTAACTGCCAACCTTGCAGTTCAAACGGCTTTGCAGCCTGACATTAACCCACAGCACCACACCAGGACTCCTATAAGTAACATATTATCTCTCTCTCTCTTTTTTTTTTTTTTAATTAAATGTTTTTATTTTGCATTGAGTGAAAGTTTACAGGGCACATCATCAGCTTCACATTCAACCATTCATATAGCTTGTTTCATTACATTGATTATTATC